GGCAGCTAATTTTTTCCATTTTTACAGAAGTTTTGATCACTTGCCCAGTTTTATTTCCTCCAAAATTATTTTGCAGGTCACTCTGAGGAGTGTTTTGCAGTTAAAGCTGCTGCTGCTGTCTTCCTTGAAAGTTTTCCTGTATTTGGAAGTCACTGACCTTGTACTTTACCAGTCGTGAACTTCTTTCCAAGTAAACAGGCTCTTTGGCTTCTGAGATAATAAGGTTTATGTGAGGAGAAACGCCCTATCACTGAGATTTTTTGGATTGTAGGAGGCCTTCCCAAGGGAAACGATGGAAATGCCATGAAATGGCCTGTCCAAAATCTAACCAGACAAGGCTCTGGGAAAGATTTTGGGTAAGGAGCATTGATCAGAATGGTTTTCCCCATGCCTAATTTCTGTCCTTCTGCCATAGTTGCTTAGATTATGTATTTGTGTTCCAAATTAAAGCAGAAAAATCTTCATCTCTTCCCTTGCTGTTACCTGCATGAAGGCAAGAACCTTGTCTGCAGCCGTTTCCCTGGGGCCGTTGATATTGCTTGTCTGTTTTCAGGTTGCAGCTGACAGGTTACCCCCTTCCTGCCTTACTTGTGTTTTAAGTATTTTTCCATCTGCTGTCTGCAACTGTGGCTCCTTTTGCCAGCCGTACACTCGCTTGCTTCTGCCAATAGATGATGCTTGTCATTAAATAAAATCAAGGTCACTGGTGTACCGCTAATTAGTTCTCACATAGAATAACCATAGTAACAAGGATATTAATAGAAATAAATGTGGTTAGCTGTTGGTAGTGATAACATACAATAGGCAATGATTACTGAATAACTGCAGAAGAAGCTGAGGCAGAAAGTCTAGTTTGAAGCTATTGATGAGAGGGTTCCCGTACCACATGGCAGCAAGGCAATGAGAGAGATGGATCTGAAAAAAAAGAAGTTTTATGATTTCAGATGTCTTCTCCTGACATTATCTGTCTGTGTACTTGCTCAGTTGGAGACAGTGTGGCCAGACAGCTACAAATGCGAACATAAATTTATTATTTATGATTATAGCCTGGTTTTGGGCCAGCAATCAGATTTGGCCAAACTCCCTCTTGCAATCAGTGAGTTTGTGGCCTCTGGATATGCAAGCTGATGAATCAGGCAGTTCTTTTAGTAGTGACATCATTTTTTGATGTATATTCAAGCTGATGATTGAGCAGATAGACTGACACTCCTGTGCCTTCCCCATCTAGAACATGAAATGAGGTTTCAGGGTAAACGAAGTCGTGATCTCAGAAACTGCCCAAGAAGGCTGAGGGTTTCTGTGAAGATCATTGTTCATTTAGGCCAAATCTCGGGAAGGCGTTGAGGTTTAAATCATCTGGGTGCTTTTAACATCTTAGGATGAGACTTCCGTCTGCCATGAAGTTAGGATAGCACGCTTAGCGACTGCGTCTGTCCAGCATTGATTGAGAACCCTGACCCTCACGTCATCTAAAATGGAAAAAACCAATGGGAAACAGACTAAACTCTTCTCCACAAACCCATGGGCTAAGAGGCTTGACCTAGCAGGACTTCCTTAGCTATAGCTGTTATGAGCTTCTAGCTTGTATTTCCCATGGCCTTGATTGTGAAGGCAGCAAGACCTTTTCATTCATTCAAAGGCTTTCTGGGGATGCCAGTGGCTGTGGTGGTCCGTTGGACTATGGTGCAGCAGGTGGCTTCTGACTGGCAAGCACTTTCAGAGGTGAGATGTTGCCCACAGTATCGTTAGTGTGGATGCACACGTGCTCCGTAAATGTACACAGATGCAAAATGCCCTTGTGGCTCTGCAGTGACAATTCCATAGAAGACAGAAAAAGGTTTTCTGGTTTGACTTTTGTTATGGTAATCCTGGCAAGCTCAAAAGGAGTGCTGTCCTTTGAGTTTACTGGCTTAGTGCTATGTGACTTCTGTTAGAGTTGCAAAAAAAAAAAAAGCGCCAATATCCCACACTGTCAGTTTTCCTAATAGCTCCCATTTTCATTCACTTTTCTCGAAGCCAGCAGTCCATGCTGCCAAAAATGTTACTGTTGATGAGTATGAATGGAGCAAGTCTGCCAACAAACATCTAAAATTGTCTGCTCTCACTGCTTTTTCCTTCCCCTGACAGTGACCCAAGCAGTTCTGTTCAAGAAGTAATGAAGATTTGTCATCTATGAACTCCTGAGTTCACAGGCACACTTAATTTTCTTTTTTCCTTTTGTAAGCCTCGCCTAACGCGTATCAAGATGTCTTACATTGGAAGATTATTCCATTTAAAGATCTCTGATTCCTTTACAGGGGGACAAACTGAGAGTGGAGGACTTGGTAATAGGCATACCTTCAGGAATGTTGACTATATCATTTAAAAGAGAGAATTTGTTTCAGTTCTAAATTTTTGATTACAAAACTTGCAGCTTCTGTTGTCCCATCATCAGTGGGGTCTGTAACCTCTCCTTCGGGGCTGGAACGGCACACTTTGGTGCACCTAGAACACCTCGTGAAAAGGATTCTTCTGTAGAGTCTGGTAGTACTCATGATGGTTCCCTTACCTGTTCAGGAGGATTTCTGCAGCCTTTCCCTGCAGATAATTACAAACAGTTATTTGTTTTCAGCTAGATCATGTTTCATACCACTCTCTCCACCAGTGTCCTGTTTCACAGCTTCAGCATCCTTTCACTGTGTTACTGTTTTTTTTCTATGCAAGCACACTAAATAAAAGTGATGCCCTGCTTTAGACATGTCTTTGTGTTTTGCTTCTGCATTACCAGCTGAAAGGAGCTCCCCATCTAAGCATGCTTAGCCCAGGATGAGGATTTGAGACACCTGCGGTTTAATCCATGCTTTACAGGCGTGAGAAAGCTGCTCTGTGCCTCAGCCTCTCCCCACCTGTAAGCTGATCACTGCCCACAGCAGCCTGGGAGCTTAACAGTGCCAAGTGCTTTTTGTTACCTACCTGTTCAGGTTGTATTTGTTTTATTCTTAGTGTCCAGTCCCAGTGGACGTGACTACAACAGCTTTCAACAGAGCTGATTCACTAACGCACGACACGGACGCTCACATGTTGCCTTGGGAGGTATTTGGTCTCATCTTCAGCAGCGTCTGAGACTGTGGGTGCTCACGATGGGACTCCAAGCACAAACCTTGCAAACATTCAGCCTATCCCTGCGTCTCCCCTCCAGCAGCTGCTGTAGCACGCTCTGGAATATGTTGTTTCTTTGTACGGATGCTGAGAAGCATTGTTGAACTTGGCTGCCTTCCTGGGTGTGTTTAAACAAGAGGGCCTCCAGTTAAAGAGAGTAACGAGCTTAAAGGCAATGTGTCAGCCTGAGATGCTGGCAGGTGTGTTATAAATTCAGTCTTTACTCAGCTGTCAGGGTGTACCTTCGACTCAGGGAGGGAGGTCACAGCATGACACAGTAAATGTCTGACTCGAGCTTCTGTGGCAGCAGAAGGCTCTGCGGTGGCAGGGATCAAGGTAAAAGCAGTCGTAGGCAAACTCACAGCTGTTCGTGCCACCATTCTCTTCCAGGAGTTGCTGTGTCAGTAATGTATGGCTGACATCTGTGGCCCTTCACCATCCATCAGGCTTTCTCCTAACAAAACATTCTCTTTGGAAAGGTATTTTTCCTTCAGGAAGCCCTGGCTGGACTGACCAGCAGCTCCTCTGATGTCTCAGCCAGTTCTGTGCTACACCTCGTGCTCCTACAGCGGCCACATCAGCTACCATCCTGGCAGTGTTGCTCTGGTTCCTCTTCCCATCTCCTCTTTTAGCCATGACTTGGTTCAAGATGCCCTTCGTGCCTTTCACCGAGAAGTAGCCCACACTGCTGGTGCAGAGAAAGGAGAGAGAATGGCAGCGTGTGACTAACTGAGACTAATCCTGCTTACGCTGACAATAGGGTCTTTCTTTCTCTTCCGCTTTCTGGACGGCTGTACAGAATTAGAATTAGCGTGGAGGAATGTGTGGAATAAGCCCTGGCGTCAGCAGTGGGTAAGTTGTGTGGCAGGAAGTCTTCAACTGTTGAATCCTGTGACTTCAGGGTGTCCTGGTGCGAGCAGCATCACTCCCTTGGTGGTGGCCCCTTCTGCACAGAAAGGTTGTTCGCTGGAGACAGCTGTCCTGGTGAGATATTGCTGACACGTGTACGGCCTCTGTGGTCTAGTGCCCTCTAAACTGGCTTTTCTGGTTCCATAGGGGCTGTGGTGGTTTTAATGAAGTCAGGGGTTTTCAGATTTGCCC